ACTAGAAAAAAATGAGAAAGTTATTAAATAATAATTATAATATTAGAAATACAAAAATTGTATATTGATTTAGTCAAATAAAATGAGATATCAATTCCAAATTTTTTTTATGTTTATCAAAATTGTAGAGTTTATTACAAACAAAAATTCAGGATTATAGTTAATTAATAAACAATTAATAATTATACCAATAAATTTTAAACTATTTTCTTGCTTACGATTGAGAGAATTTCGTAACGAAAAATCCATGCTTTTGTATTAATATAATTTTGAACACAGGAAATAGAATTCCAAAATTTTACAAATGCTTTTTATCATCAAGCATCCAGTTTTGGTTATTTTATTGTTTTCTATATTCACAGTAGTTCTTAGAATGTGAAGTTTGCTATATTGAATAATATTTTACATAATGTATAGTATCTATTATTATTGTAAAATTTTTTAAAACATTTGTTGATTCAGAAAAGTTTACTCTATTTTAGGCAATGTCCACCAAACTTGCAAGCACACTTGCTTCATCAAGCAATACAGGAAATCAAATCCATGTGTAAAAAACAACCAGAAGATTGTGGATACAAAGCACAAGAGAAAAGTATGTTACTTTGCCATCAATTTTTAATTTAATTTCATTTAAATAGAATCTCTTTTAATTAGTGCAATATTTTGCAGCATATACCTCACTGAAATTAATGCAAGCTATTACTGGCAAAGTTAATAAAATATGTTATCGCTTCTTAATGAATACTCAATTACCATTACTGCTACCTTCACCTTCTACACCACTGCCACAAGTAGTAGCTGGTGGAAACAAAAATTGTAGAAGAAAAATGGAGGATCGCTATGTAGTTTTACATGATTTACATGCTACTTTTGGTATTGAGGTATGTATATATTGAATCTTTTTATTATGCCATATAAAAATATAAGTGAAATGTTATCTCAGATAAATGTATTTTTAAATTATAGGATGACTCCGTAGCAAATTATTATGCAGTATTTGATGGACATGCAGGACAAGATGCAGCTGTATATTGTGCTTCGCATCTTCATCAGTATTTAGCGGAAAGCAGACATTATCCTACTGATCCAGAGCGTGCCTTACATGATGCTTTTATTACTACAGATACACAATTTATAGAGAAATCTAAATCACAAGTGAGTGCTAGTGTATAAATTAAGCTATCACAGTGTATAAATTAAGCATATATCATAAACAATTAAATAATTCTTTTCTATTTTATAGAAAGTATGTGGTGGAACTACAGCAGTTTGCACTTTATTGTTAAATAAAAAGTTATATGTTGCTTGGGCAGGAGATTCTACAGCAATGGTAGTAAAATCCAACACTGTTGTTCAATTAGTAAATCCTCATCGCCTTAACCGTGAAGTAAGTATACAGAATTCCTTTATTCAATTTAATTTTCATATTACATATATACCCAGGTATATATTTGTTATTTAAATATGACTTTTACTTCGAAGTCTATGGTCATATAGTATTACATGTTCATACTCTGCACAACGTATTCTTACTCTTGTTGTATCTAAACCTGGAGAAGGAATTGTGGGATCAATATTAACAAAATCTCTATCATGAAGGTTTTTAAATCTGAGACCTAGTTTTGGATCTATAACTGGTTGATAATTGCAAGTTTCATTTAAGCACGTTTTATTTGTTCTCCAATGGTAGTATGCAAGATCAGTTGCATGAGGCCACAGCTTTTTCTTTCCTTGAAAATATGGAAGCCAGTTTTCTTTTTCAAGTCTTTCGCAAAAATCGATGTAACCAGAGATTTCAAATTGAAGTTTTGTATAGTTTCTTATAAAAATAATAGTGGATATGATTTTTAATCTATTTGCACGTTCGCGAAGTGCGAGTTCCTGCATTACTGCATTGGTTGGTGTAATAAATTCTGATGTTAATTCATATGGTCTATAAATTGGAAACAGTAAATCTTGTAAAGTTTTCAAGCGGCAATTAAATTCATCTCTACTAAGAGTTTCTCCAGTGCAACGATATCCAAGCTCAGCTAATTGACGAGCAGTATATAAATTTCCTAAATATCCAAGATCAACAAATGTTACCAGTGAATCTAAATAATCTTCATAAGTTTTAAATGGCAATAGTCTTTTGTCACTGTCTATTTGCGTTCCCAATTCTGTCATCTTTAAACTTCTTTAGATCAATGATTTCAGTATTAATTTGATAATATAATGTATCATCTACATACACAATGAACTTGACAGAGAATTTTGGTTACATTTTGAATGCATGAAAAACAATTGAAATTCTGTAGGTATAGTATATTTATAAAGTGTTTATAGTGAAGTGCGACAAACATCATGATTCTGTTTCTTAGGATGAAGTACAAAGAATACAAAGGGTAGGAGGAGTAGTGATGCAAAGTGTTGGAATCTTACGAGTTAATGGAGTATTAAGCGTTTCAAGGGCAATAGGTAAGTCACTTCTTATTGGTTTTAGCTTTCCTAAAAAGATATAATAAAATTTCGTTGTCTATTGTTAAGAGAAAGTAAGTAATTTAATATTAATCTAAACATAATTTATGTATGTAATTTGTTGTTTTCTGGCAGAATAATCTTTTCTAAATGTTTTTAATATAAAGAATAAATATACATTTTATTACTTAAAGAGTACACATTTTTTTCTGTTCAATATTTCTGAACAAGACATATTTTTCTTTATATTAAATAAGAGTAAATAATACAAACATTGAAAGCTTATTTTTAAATGAAAAATTTGATGTTACCTCATTCCTTCCATTTTTTCCTAAATATATAATCATTAATATTTAAAAATTTTGTTTTGCTATATTTACCTTTTTCTGTTAGTAAAATAAGTAAAAGAGTACAGCTTTTTTAAAAGTAAGAATCAACCATTTTATTAGTATATCGCATTTAATATTTACAAATTTGTCAAATACTTTGTGCGTTTACAAGTAACAATTTGAAGTTAGTAAACATAAATAAATTAACTTGTTACTAAACGAACAGTACATATACGCGTAACCACTGTTGCTCGCCCTAATAGAAATTTGAGGTTAATTTTGTAGGAGGTTATCAAAGTGCAGTGAACGCAGTTACATTTTATGAAAAATTACGGAACGAGAAAACTGTGTTTTCCAAGGCGTGGCCATATGTTTGGAAACTTTATTAAGAATTAATTAGTGTTTGTTGATATTTCTTCTTCGTACTCACATTCTTATATTAGCACGAGGCACGCGCGTTGACATTTCTTTCACACTGTCAATCTAGTCAATCCTCTTTCCTGTCAACTTTCCACTTCACATCTGTCGCTTCGAGAGTCGAGAATGACATTCGTTGGTGCTCGGAGAGATGCTCGCAATCGCTAGATGGCGATACATGTATCTTGAAATCGATACACTGTATCCGACGCATGTGCTTTCGCTATACTTTTGAAAATTTAAACGTTTGTAGAATTTATATTCTACTATGTTAGTCTCTAATGTATTTGATAAGGAGAAACTAAATGAATATAATGAATATTATCTACATAATGTATGTACTAATCTTTCATCTATAGGAATAACAGTAAACTTAGTGAATTATTTGTATTTACGTGAAATGTTAACCCTTAACCGATATACTGAAGTCATGAGTAATCCTAACATTGTATTTCTATCTCATTTTCCATGTTTATATTATTGTATACACTAGTTAAGATTAAAATATCAATAGAGCGTTTATCTAGTTTAAGATTAACATTTTTTCTTGCATTTTTTATTTGAGCTCTATCGTAACCCCGTGATACCAGATAAGGGCGAGTTATGATTATTCATTTGTTGTTGCTATGACGTTATGAAATAGTTTTGCTTATTGTAATGGAAACTGTACTAATAATTAAACCACGGAAGACGAATGGTTTTTGATGATCGCTGGAGACGAATGCGGGGTCATTTTAACTCATAATAAAGTTTGTGTTGGAAACTGCTGTCAACATTACCTTCGGACGCTGTCCTTGGACGGAATGCTATCGCATACCAAGTTGTCATATCGTTCGCAGGTCAAAATGATCCCGTATTCGAGATAGGAGGGTTAAGGGTTTTTGAAGGATACAATATAGCATAATAGGGAAAAAAATATTAACAGATGTTTATTCTAATATATCCTAATAGATGTGTTTCTTTCAATATAATATTTATGTTATTTTCGATTTTGTTAAAAACATTCAAAACATTTTAATTTTTCAGTAAATATTATGCTATTTTATGGGTATTATTTTATTAATATTTTATTATTTCTTATTAATATTATTATTAGAAAAGGACTGAGAACGAATTTCTTAGTTCAACCACACGATATATTAAATATGTCGAAAAGTTTGAATAAACTCAGTCTCGTCGTTTTTATGAAGCAATACGATTGGTTTAGAGTAAACAGAGTTTTTGCCAATCACGAAACGTCTGTGTGCAAACTCTATGAAGATTAATTTTCTTTCCACACAGTAGGTCACGCATTAGGTGTTCAAGCGCACCATATAAATGAGTGATTAAGTTCGCACAGGACTCTAGTTATAAACACATTTATCCAACGAATTAGTGCACACTATAATTTACAGTGTCGCGAAAAGTGCTTAGGAATGTTCCAACTCCTTGTTGGTAGAATTAAACGGACAACGTGCAAGGTACAGAGTGCGCCGAGTACTATGCTATTTTCCCTCTATCAATTATGGAGCAGCTATACTAAACTTCTTGTAGTATGCTGAGGAGTGGCGTGTAAACTGATATCCTTGTGAGTGCAAATCGCCAAATGCGTTATACACCATTCGTTTTAAGACTACACAGGACCGAATCTTTGCTTTCTTGGCCTGTCTAGGTTTGTTTTCCTCCAAAAAGCTTCCTTTGATGATTAAAATCTAAATAAAATATAGTACAATTTATTGTATTCAACGTTTTTCCTCGTTCGTTTATCGTCAATCCGAGATTGTTTTTGCAGACAGCATTCTCATTAGCAAATTAATGTTGACTGGAATTTCGATATACCAGGAAGAGTCGAAAAGAATTCTGACTTTTAAGGTAATTCCCGAGACGTTCTCATACATTCTTGACTATTTTATTACGTCGATTCTTGCGGATTGTTTCTGCGGTATCTGAAACTTGACTCTATTATCATCTCAGCAAGCGAGTTCCAAAGCAGTCCTGTTACGATTGCTGTTTCATTTTCTGTCTGCTTGGGCGACGTGTATAATCAAATCATCGATTGCTAATTGAAGATCGTTCCAAACTCGGGATCGATAAACAATGTTTTAAGTCGAAAAGTTATTAACATTTATTCGTGGATATCACTAGTTGTTTATCCGTTGGCAGAGCGTCTAAAATTTTTTGATCATTAACATATTCGCTACGTGCCATTAATAATGTGCATTACTAAATATGCACATAGTGCATATTCGAAGCTTGATTTTTTAATTACTAGATTGCGGATCACTAGACAAACATAAATTTTATAAAGTATGTAGTAATATGTAAAATGGAAAGCTCGTTAGAGTCGATTGGATTTTTAGACCAATAAACACATTGAAATCGGTTTTTACTATTTTATTTATTAAACTACTGTAATTTCGTTGAACTTTTATGGATGTTAATTCAGCAATCATTGTGTAAAACAGATATGGTTAAAGCATCTTTTGATTGCGAATTTATATAGTTATGATAAAAACAGGTGAAAGATAAAACAGCGATAAGATTGATAGATTTCAAGAATTGTTTTGCATAAAGATTCAGTCTACTGATTATGAAGAAGAAACGTTTTTTAAACATTGTGATATCTATAGACAATAATTTCACGTTCGGGGTCGAAGGTCGTTTCGAGGCCATTTAAACATGTCTGAATGTAGTTTAACGCCAGCTACACGCTGCAATAAATAAATAAATACACAATAACTGCGTCGTATTTTACAAACATGATCGCCCACGAAGATAGACTGATCTCGACGCCATCAAGCAGACAGTATATTAGGAGAGATCCTCTCATCTAATTCTTGCCTAATTGTTGCAAGAAGTCGAGGTGCCAAATTGTCGCGTGTTCGCATAGAAACCAAGTAGGGAGCACAGATATTAGCGGCGTAGGTGTCCAACTATGGATTAGGTGTCGCGGAGAAAAGGAAAGAAAAAATTCTGGACGCGTGTCGAGTATCCTGTTGGTTCCGTACGACCGCTGACACAATAATACGTGCAGCCATGCTCCGAGCAATGCACGCTTTACTGGGTGGCTGCTACAATCGCATGCCCGGAATAATTAACAGTCCATTACGCCCGTTTTTGCATCGCGAGGAGACGCGTGTCTCGCTGGTCCCTCGTTTGCGAGGAATTTCTCCTCGGCTTCGGGAAATTTTACGATTGATAGCGCTTCCGTGCCTATTACCATCTACTTCCGGTAGATTTCACAATCGAGGATCGACCGCGGTCCTTCGCTCCGCGCAGCTTATCGGATGGAGTTCGATGTGTTCAATTTAGTGGAAATCCCATCAGGTTTTGGTGTGTGCACTTCCGTCTACAATTCGCCAGATTTATTATCCCGATTTAGGGTGGTTTGTCCAACGAATTAACACTTAAGCTGCACGTCTGTTAAATCGATTATTCACAAATCGTTGTTTAACGCGTTAACTGCTGAGAATCAATACCAACAATTCCCACAAAATCTAAGCGATTTGATTAATGAAACTGACGATAGATAATTAAAGTTTATCACAGCGGATGGTAGTTTAACTATTTTGCGTCCTAAAAATTTTGTTTTCTTTTTTAACAAACATACAGTTTGTATGTCGAATTCATTGCATATATATATATATATATATATATAAACTGTGAGACTTTTTTTTTGTCATTCCAATTAATTGCAATTTTTGAAAGCACGTTTAGAGACATTGTCCTAGTAAGCTAGACATCTCTGACATCTTAAAATAATTTCAAATCGTTTGGTCCTATTTCAAAAAATTTTAGAAACCTTCTATTTCGTATTAAAAGGCGTTCGAATACTTTCGTGGTTCAGTGTATGTTATCATTTTATTTACCGGAAGCCTATTAATAGGCTTGCTTCAACACTAAATCTACCGCGGTCAAAATGACCGTTTCCTTATTTTGCAGTTCTGCATAATCTAGAGGCTCTTCCATGGAAAATGCTTGAATAAATTACATTATTGGATCAAGTATTATTATTATTATTATTTATTCAAGTATTTTCCATGAAAGAGTCTGTAAACTGTGCAGAATTGCAAAATAAGGGAACGGTTATTTTGACCGCGATAGATTTAGTGTTAAATAAAAATTTCAGAAAAATTTGTTACAACGTAACACTTCAAATAATTTGTTGAGTTATTGTCGTCATCATTGAAAATAATGAACAAAAATTGTTTTCATATACATGTATAAGATCTGCAGTCTACATAAAACGAGAAACATTTGTATGAAAATAATGATCGTAACGCAACGATATTTTTCCGCGCCGATTATAACAGTTACGGTGCCTAGAAATCTCAGCGAGATTCTAAAATGTGTTCGAGCTTTCTTTTTCTAATTAACCGATTCACTGAAATAAATTCGCCGATCGCGTTCAGGCAAGGCAGAAGAAGTGACAAAGAAAGAAAATTTCATTCCGCGTGACGCGCAGTTTTATAGAATCCAAGATAACTGTTACAGTTACCCATCGCACATAAGCGTTGTTTTTTACATCTGAAAAACACGCGATGATGGGAGCGTGGGGGATTATCAGTATTCAACTAGACCGTAATTAACTTTAATTATCTAATTAATGAATGGCGTAACTAATTTAAATAATGGCACTACCGTAACATAGACGCTTCCGGTTATTAGAAACTTATGCGGTTCTTTCTATCGCTTTGCTACAACCATGAATGAAACTGGGAACAGTTAGTAATTAAAAAGGAACATGAAAATTTGTGGGTAAACGAGATTAAGAAACAATGCGTAGACGTATTTAGCATTGTCGTTTTTTGCTAATTGGGTTTGTGGGTTTTTAAAAACCGGTCTCTTTCTTTTTATAAATTTGTAAAATTCCGCAACCGATTTTAAATCAAAAATATTTTAAATAGAAAATAAACTCTGTACTCGATAGGTGCTGTCGGAACGAAAATTTCTCAATAAAATGTTATTAGTAGTGCTGTATATCAAGATAGTTTAAGGGAAACAAAATCATCGTTATTAATCATGAAAGTAATAACATTTTCTTTCGAGTAGTTGACGCAGTTACGAAGTGGAAATAGCTGTTTCATTAATAAATTTATTGCGTACGAAGAAAATTCTACGATCGTTTTTTACTTTTATCGATGAAACATTTACGACTGATTCTATTAATCATGCGTTATCCTGTGTAACTTGAGCTGTACATAGAATTTGATTTAGAAATACTCAGTATTTTTCGATATTTAATTAACGGGACGCTCTCTCTAGAATGACACAGGTTTCACATTCGGTGAACAATTATATTTAAAAATATTCTACATTCTTGGATTGTTGATAATCTTTTTAATTGCAAATGTGCTGCTATCGGAACGGTTCCTAATTTAATATACATTCTTGCTAGTATAATTTTGAATGACTACCAATAAATGTATTTTGTTCATTAACAATTCGGTACCTCTATACAAAGTTCTGTAAATGTTCGAATACAAGAAAATATCCTATGAGCTTTTAATGAGCTGTAAATAATTATTTACAGGCTGACTGTGTATTATTTATTCTTGTGTTCAGTTTGTTATTTAATTCACCACATTCTCTGTGATAGTTCCGTTAATGATTCAAAGAAATTAAAACATAGAAAAAACTAAAAAAATTAAAACATGACAGGTGTTACTGTTAACAACCTTCGAATAATTATTTACAGACTAACAATATGCTGTATAGTTTTGAGTTCAACTTTTTGTTTAACTGACCAGAATTCAGAATTCTGCCAATGTTCAAATACATTTAAAAATGTCGAAACGTTCTATGAGAGGTGCTACTTTTTATAAGCTTGAAACTATTAATAAGCTTTAAATAATTATTTACAGACCAACGATTGTTGGTCGATACGTATTTTTTTAGTTTAATTTTATGTTTAATTGACCATTTCAGGTGACGTACGGTACAAACCATTCGTAACAGGTGAACCGGAAGTGAAGTGCTACCCTTTGGACGATACCGAGGATTTCCTGGTGATTGCCACGGACGGACTGACAGATTACGTAGAACCCACGGAAATAGCGACCATCCTGTATCATGAGATGCAACGAACTCCAAGTAAGTACATAAGTAACTGCCCGAATGAACTTGCGCTGCGCGAATCAATTTAGAATAACAAACAAACGGAAGGCTGACGCTTTACGGCCTGTCGGCGGTACACCGTAGCTTGACACTGTTCAAATTTATTGTTGCGCGTGACATGATTAACAATAGTATTCGTTGTTGGCAAATTTATGTCGGTTCAGCTGTGTTCGACGTTCGTGAAAAGTTTGGTTTGGACACGGTGAATCAGTTTCGCGGAACAGATACATGCATCCATTCGAAATACGTATATTTGAACAATATATAATAATTATAGTTCATTGAATCGATTAAAGGGAATATAATAATCCGTTTTATTCAGTGTTATTCCATTTTGTTCAGGAAGACTGACTGCGGAATTGTTATATTTTGATGCAGTTAAATGATTTGGCACAGCCAACTTTCACAGATTAAACTATTTGGTTCTATTAAAACTGTAACGTGCTTCCAGAAATATTTTTCTAAATAAAAACAGTTCTAATAATAATAATAATAACAGAAACATAAAAGAATGCATAAAAATTTTTGTTCTCAATTTTTCCATAGGTCAAAGGATATTGTACTAACGAAAAATTGAAAATAAATGTTTCTATAATTATTGTTCCCATTATTTATTATTATTATTAAATCGAGGAAGCGCTTTTGTCATTTAAGTAAAAATTCCTGAGAACTCGGTCAATAACGAAGCAGTCCGCCTTTTGGCGAAGTAAAGGAGAACTATAATTTTGAGAAAGCAATGGTAAACCTGTAAAATGATTTAAATAACAGCTTAATTATTTTCTCGACTAAACGAGTGTGTAGAAACTCGAATTTCACAATGAAATTTCGATAAAATAAGGGACTGATTTAGTACAACGATTCGCGATCCTCATTTATATGATATACGTAATTACGATACGAAGGATTTTGTCCGATTTCATCTAGCATTCCGTATCAAGAGAAAACCAAGAGAGAACGATCGTTTTTCTGAGTGTTCGTTCAACTAGCGTGCTTAGTTATGTTCCATTAATTTGGCCGATGTATCGCTGAAACGCGAAGATTTCCACGTCACGAATAGAACAATCGAAGCGAGTAATTATAGTTATCGCGATGGAATAGATCCATACGAAAGTATCAGGAACCTTAAATCATCTCATTAGATTTAATCAGCGATCGGATGAATACAATTTCTAGGCGCACTGTAAAATAATACATTGCGGAAAGAAAATTATTCTAGACTTTAATGTTTCAATTGCCACTTCTTCCATTCATCAATCAACCTCTTCTGAATGCTCTTTTCACCGATAAATTATGCAGCCACGTATAACCGTGCACAAGGAACGTTGTATAACAACCGGATTCCGAATCTTTATGCAAATTCTCGTCTTCGTGCATGCGGGAATCGAGCCCTGCGAATTCGTACAACATTCACCCTATTAATAATGTTTCAAACAGAAACGGCAACGTGCAAATTATTCTGGAACGCGATATAACAATTTTCGCGTCCAATTCAATAACCAAAGATCGAGCAGATATGCTAACGACCGTCGGCAGAAACGTTTGACGGATCTGTATCGGTTGCAATAAATATTTCCAGCCGCGCGGAATCGTACCGAGTAGTTTCACAGTAATAAAAAATAATTTACGATCCGGCATGAAAGAGTAATTAGGAACGCAGGGCCGTTAGTGGCTCGCGGTACGCTCGTCGCTTTTACGCTCGCACAATGAAATATCCTGACCCGTATTTCCCCTGTAGGAGTTTCATTAGAGCGGACTCTCGATGTCGAAGGATCGCGTTAGCCTAAGTTTTCTCGTGGTTCCCGAACGATGAGCAAAAGATGACGAGTGGCTGATAGTTTTGAGAAAGTAAGGGGAATGCCGTCTCGCAAGGAATTTCGCGGTGGAAAACGCGAATCTCGTTATGATCTTGTACTCCTTCTAACCGGCTGCCAACAAACTGTGTCCAGCCGTTCCTCATGGCGCTGTCATGCTCTGCTTCCCGCCCGACTCAGGGACGAAGATCGGAACGGATTGCCCCGACGCTCGTTCATTTCATCAACGTTCCCTTCCTTTCCTTCCGAAGACAAGTTCCTCCGTTTCTGCCCGTAGAAATTCCTCGATGAAAGTTCGTTCACCTTCCGGTCTAGCTAGCCGAATCTAATGCGAGCAGCGATGGGCTCGACCACGCCGCGGCCTCGCGAAACCGAGTCAATCCCGATATGGCCGAGTTTCACTTGCCGGCTGCTTAACACGATTCCCGGCAAAAATATTTTCATCCGGAGTCCGCCGCGAGATCACCTTAAAAAGCTAACGTGATTTTTTTTTTAATTTGTTTAACCTTACAACCGAGGTTTCGTTTTTACGCGAAAAAGGATATTTAACACCGCTTTAAACGCACGCGAATGATATAGAATCGTGTCTCGCCACGTCGAAAACAATTTTATTTGAGAACAAAGAATTTTTATATGGGAACACAGTGGGACAAAATGATAGTACATTTAACTTGTTATAATTTTTGAAAATTGACGAGACAGCTTTGTCTTGAATCGAAGCGAAAGGAAACAATTCTTTGAAGACGAGTACATAAAATGAGAATCTACACAATTTACGGTGTCGCCGTTTTCCGAATTTTTGACGAACCGTTTAAAATTGTCGACCGGATCTCAAATGTACGATGTCGACACATCTATTTCGTCCTGTTTCTCTCCGTCGGCGATCTCGTCTTCCGCTCACGAATTTCTGCGGCCATGTTAAACCGTAAACTCTGACAGTCATTGTTAACGGTCGGGCCTACGGTTTCTCCAAGTAAACGGCAATCGATGCGTAACCTCGACAATTGAGAAACAGATAAAACAAGGATTTCATTTTTCTGCAGCCTACACACAGTGTCCTAGTATCGTGTTTGCCTCTTTTTCGATACCACCAACGAATAGAAATAGGAGAAAAAGAGTCGCGAACATGAGCTATGCTGGATAACAAACAACGGTGTGCATAAAATTACAGGCATAAAGTAACTTTTACATTTCTATCGATATTTAAACAAATCTTACAAAACTATATTTGTGTACATGTATCTCTATTTATCTATTATTTCTGACATAGAAATATACAAATATGGTGTTTTGCTAGATTCTCGTTTAAATATCCCTGAAAAGGAGTAAAAGTTACTTCGAGCCTCTCTAATTATTCACACAGAAGTGTAAAGACATTTCGCTGTTAACAATGTTTTCATGATTCTGTTTAGCCACGCATGAATTTCTATGTTTCGTGCGATATAATTATGATAAAGTTTATATTTTTATTAGAACCACGTAATCTAGGATAATTGATAGTAACTGTACATTTAGCGGCGACGCGGCACAAGAAAAAGGACAAAATCTCTGTGCAAGTGTCAGAAACTTATTCACAAATACATATTTCGTTGTAACATTAATTTCTCGTGGCATATTTTCTTGCGATTCTATCGATCTAAAATTGCAGATCCAGTTTTGTAACACTCAACGGTTTCTCTCCTTTCTGGGCGTTAATGAATGGCTTTTTCTGACTGTGTTTCGATCATATGAACGAATGGGTGTCTAGAAGAAACCTAATTGTGTTAACCAGATCAGGAACATCGCGTAGTAAAACGCATTAGTACTTACTATCTAAATTGGATTCTCCTCGATGCGGACGGTACAATATAGAGACATCTGTGTAGGAAATACCTTTCACGAGAATGCCCTGTTTCGAAAACAATGCTTATACAGTAATAAACTGTAATTAGAAAGGAATAAGAAATTATGAAAACTATTAAACAATTTCTATATAAAAGGTACGAACAATATAAGCAACAATGAAGCATGTTAGGGAAAAATGAGCGGTATATTGTATATAGAAAACAGATCTGGGTAAGAATATTTATAAAATGTATTATTTGGCGCCATAGAGATAAGTATATTCATTGAAAATAGTTATTTATGTTGTGATAAGAGAAACTATTCATTGAAATAGTATTTTCATATGACATACTTGAAATAATTATGAATGAAATAATTAAAAATGAATGCAGTATTTCATCTGCATACATTTTTCCTTAATTACACGAAATTCTATTTCTTAAGATTGATATTCACGAGAGAAAATAAACCTATAGAAAAGGGGCGAATACGTATTGTTTTAAAAAATAAGATTCTTCTTATATTCCTTTGAATTATTGAATGTATTTGAAACATTTATCGTCTATTCGTTTTCAACAAAGTACAAACATATCCCGAATGCAAAATTTCATGGAAATAATATCCAAGTGTTTCATTTCTCGAACAATAAAGACGATATTTATTGCAACAAAATATTTCAGGTTCATATTGTTGAATATAAATTTGGAATGCTTATCATGTATTTGTAAAATCAATTGAATATTCGAACTGGTGTCTCATTTGATGTAGAAATAAATTATTATTTCAAATGGAGCGTATGTAACGCGGGCGAGATAGTGTTCGCAGATATTTGTATTTCTCTCGGTAGAAATATTTTTACCCGGGTCTGATCGAAAATTGGAAATTTAGTATAGGGAGACCATCTGGAGCCATTGCAGCAAGCCACGGAATGGAATCCTTTATCGAATTCTGCGGAGGATCCTGTCGCCAGGATTTGCTCGACTTCCTGATCGAGCTGCAATTGGGCCAATTGCTCCCATCGAATCGCTGGCATTCCCATTGCCAGGATTCTATAAGGGGCGCAGGGATGGGGAACGGGGCCAGGGGTACAAGCTCCGTCACAATAGCGATTCCTACGCCTAATTGCAGTCGCGTGCTACGAGGCACGTGGCGCACGAACACATCGTCGCATCTGTGGCTTCCTTCGTCCTTCGTTAGAAATTTAGCAGTGTTCTCTAACTGCGGATGCAGTTTGGCACGTTGCGAACAGAAACCCGCTGTGACTGCAGTGTTTGCCATTACTCGAGTTAAATTGCATTTGGATAAAACTAACGTATAAATAATTCATCCTTCGGTCGGTCA